TCATATTTATAATTTAAATTTTCTCTCTCTCTCTCATATATATATATATATATATATATATATATATATATATATACATATATTCCATAATTTCATAATTAAAAACTGTCTTATTATAAATAATATAATCAAATCTAAAAATAATTTTTAAGATATATATGTGCGTATGTTTATTAGTTATTAATGAAATTTCAATATAATAAATCATTTATTTAATTTTAATTTGTAGTTTAAAATCTAAGTCAAATTATTTTATTGAAAAATATAGATAAAAAAATAAAACATACACTAAAAAAATATGTTATATTATAGGGGTTAAAATTATAGATTTTAGAAGTTAAAAACCGCTACAAACAAAATTTGTAACAATTAATATAACTATTATATACGTAGATGTCACAAACGATTTGTAACAATTTTTTTTAAATATTGATATTTGTGTCAAAAAAGAAAAAAAAATTCCAACAATTAAAAACTGCCATAAAATGCATTATTATTCTCCACTAAGAGGTTCTTGCGAGATTCAATATTATCTGCATCAAGAAATTTATGTGAGACTTCAATATTATATTTAGTAAGAGATTTATGTGGAGTTTCAATGTCATCTTTAGTACAAGATTTTTATGATGATTCTTTAATATCAATTTATTTTTCATCTCTTAAAGGGTGAAAATATTGTTTCACTTAGGTCTATATTATACTTTATCTCCCTAAAAATCACAGAGGAAAAATATATTATATCTTCATAAAAATCACATTCATTGTTATATACATATGATGAGTAGAAAGATGATAACACTTATATCTTTTTTTATGTATAATATATATGAAGATGAACAAATGCAACACATTTAAATAAAGAAGGGGATACATTAGAAATAATTAGAGTGACAATTAAATTATGGAATGTTTAAAAGGAGTTTTAAAACAAGTAGAACTTGAAGGAGTTCAATCTATTAAATATATCACTGAAGTAAGAACTTCTCGACTCTTTTACATAATTGGGTTAAAAAAGAACCCAATTTAACGTAATATGATCGAATTTGAAAAAAATTACAAAAATGAGTGAATTTGTGTTTCTAAGAACAAGTTTGTTAGTCAAAACTAAAATCATGCCACGTAACCTAATTTTAGTTGTAGTTTTTTTTTCTTTAAATTAAGACGAAACATTAAATAAAGGAGTAAAGATCAATACTTGTTAAGCTAATCATGTTTCTAAAGACAAGTTTGTTGGTCAAAACTAAAATCTTGCTGCATACCAAGATTTTAGATGTAGTTTTTTTTTTTTAAATTGAGGTGACACATTAAATAAAGGAACAAAAATCAATATTTGGCTAAGATAAAAAAAGATTGTTTTTTGTCCTAGTATATTCTTAGCCAAACTAGCATATCTTTGGCCCACACACAAGCTATAAAGGTCTAAGTTTCTATTCTTGGTTGTAACCATTGAGAACATAAGGATATATAAACTCCGAATACAGAATAAAGGAATGTGGGACATAAGTCCCTTTCAGACCGAGAGAAACCATTATATATGACCCTTGTGTAATTTTTTTAGTACATATAAATGAAATTAAACTTAATGTATGGAACTTGTTTAATTAGCTTGTCTTCAAGTGTCATTAGGAGTTTTTTTCTCCTACTTTCTAGACAAAAAAACCTTTTTTTAGAGAAGTTTACGTCAAGTTTCTTGAATAACTTCAAAAAGAATTTTTATTTTAAATTAATAATTAAATTGAAATTAATTATTTTATGAATAATATATTTTAAAAAATCAAATAATCCTAATTTTTAAAATTACACATAGCACGACTTTAATAGAAAAATTTGAAACTCTTTGATATATAAAACAAATTGAATTATTATAATAATGAAATAAAATAAATAAATATAGTGATTAAAAATAATTAAGACTTAATTAATAACAAGTTTTAATGTGATGAGCATTGGATCTCTATTTAGTTAAAAATCTTCATTCTTATGTAATAAAAAACATGTAAAGAAAGAGCGGAAAAATTAGAATACCTGATTCAAACTGTACAAGTAACACATAGACTGAAGTTTTTTTAAATAATGCTTGATTATGATTTTGGTCAAATATTAAATTCGTATGATTAACAATTTTAAAATATTCATTTTAATTCTTTAAAGTTATTGTTTAAGATTTTTTTTCAATTTTAAGATATTAAAATAAAACTGTTTTTATTTATTTAAGAGATTAAAGTTATAACTATTTTAAATTTTAGAGACTAAAAACATAATTAAATATATTAATTATAGGACTATTTTTCTTTGCACATGAAATATTTATTTCTTTTATTAATTTATTGTAATTTGTGTTTTTTTTATTAATTTAACTTAGGACATATTAATTGAAATCAGAATTTCGATCTACCTTCGATGAACTAGGAATATTTTTAAAAAATTACAATGAAAAAGGGAATTTCCTCGAAATTAATGCTTGTTTAGAAATTAATTTAAAAAATTATTTTTGAAAATATAATTAGAAAAAAATTGTACAATAATTTTATTTTTAAAAATTAATTTAAAAGAAAGAAGACGATATGATACTCATAAAAAATCATAACAAAAATTGAAAAAATAAATTTAATAACTTTATAATAATAAAAATGAGAAAGTAAAACGATGAAGCTTATTAGTAAAAAAAATATATAAAAAAAATATTTTATCAATTTTAGTTTTTTAATTTTTAAAACTAAAAAACAAAAACAGTTTAAAAAAAACAGATACCAAATAAGTTTTCAAATTTTAAAAATTAAAAAACTAATTGTTTTAAATAATAAACTAATAAATCGTAAATGCTATATTTAAATTTTTGAAAATAGTTAACTATGATGCATCCCTGAAAGGGGAAAATTTTCATTGCTCATAATTTATTATTAATACTTAAAATACCCCAATTATATGAGCTTTTGAACTGGTAAAAGCAAAAAGCTGCTTGAGTCTGTGATGAAGAAACTTCTCTTCCCATGTGAGGTGTTGTCAATTAGAACCTTAAACTAAGGGAGTAAAATCTAATGCAATATATATTATCAATTCTAGGGTTAGGGGGAAGGAACTAGCCAACCAAATCAATTAAGCAAGTGGCAAAATAGATGGCAACTTAAACCACAATTCATGCATAAATGTTTTGAACTAAGAATTACAGATATAAGGCACGTAATTTTGTACCATTTGACAACTTCTCATAACTCATTTTATATATTTTGATTAAGTATCCAATATATCATGACCCATTTTCCGGTGATGGTAGAACATATACCTATTTTTTTATTGGATTGAAGAACAAACTTTGATTCCTCTAATCTTATATTAATAATAAAATATACTAAGATTCAAATCATGTCTATGTAGCTGCCAATAGCTGGAACCTTTCTTTATACGGAAGTACCATCCATTGTCTTTTGTGTTGACAACCTTCTAACAAAACTTTAAACCCTTTTTACAGAGTGCAATTTTAATTCAAAACCTTTTCTTCAATTATTTCATCAATACACGGTTCAGTTTCTCTTTTTAAACGAAAACTCTTAGAAATTATGCAATGAAAAACTTTATTCCAAACCAGTTATTGATTGAATTAGAAAAAAAAATTTATCTATCGTTTAATCTTCTATGCAACAATGTGTTGAAGATTATTGTAGATACATAACGAAAATATTGTATATAAATAAAACTAATTCTCATTTTTGCAAAATGTGAAATTAATCATGAGTTTTGCTACCCAAACATAACGAAGACTACTGTTATACTTGTATATTTTTAAATCCAAACTTCGAATAATCATGAGTTTTATTACCCACATTTTAATTAAACAAAAGTCTTATTATTATATCATAATTGAAAATATAACAAAATATCTACCTAAAATTAATACAACATTAAAAATGAATTACGAAACGTAAGGTGAATCGATTGCTTGTACAGAACAGTTGAACCCAATGCCATGTATTTTCCGTTTCTTACATTTGAATATAACTTGTTTGGATTCAAACTGAACTTTGAAAAACTGGCATTGCATTTCTAGATTAATGCATGTAACAACTCATAAACACGAAATTCTGGTTAAGTTACATGTGCCTATTGAAGAGCTAAAATGGGAAAGAAATTGGAAATGAATTGTATATACTTTCTAATAAGTAAATTATTGAGAACAAATAAATTATGCTCTTATCATTTAATATAAAATGTATAACCAAAAATGGAAGGGCAAGAACCCCTTCTGAACCTTCCAATGTTAATCACTTAATCCATAAGGAAGGGTTGTAGGGGAACACTTGTATACCTAATAAACTGAACAAGGGTGCACGTGTCCCTAACATAGGGTTGCTTTTGCAGTTTCAAGGTTCATATTTGAATGAAGCTTCCCACCTTTTTTCTTGTCCACGACCAACCATTAATTTCCTAGTCATTGAAAAAAAGACACAACAAGCAATGGGTCCCTTGTTGGCTGTTCAGTGTTTCAGCCAGATCATGTTTTTTAGCCGTTGAATTTCCATCATTAACAATCCCAAACACGGTGTGTTTCTAGCTGTACTTGGATTGAACACGTCAACTACTTGTTCATTTCAACACTTTGAAACGATGGCATTAATTTTATTTCCATAAAAACCCCCTCCATTTTTAATACCTTTAATTCACATTTTCTAAACGTAATGGAATGCATAAGAGCGTTTGTTGTGTCCACTTGAAAACACCACCCACTTTCTTTTTCATTCTTTAATATGCCCTTTCCCACACTCCATCATCATTAAAAAAAACAAAAATGAACCACTATATAATCTTCTCTTCACCTTCCACTTTCCCACACCGGGTTCTTTTTTCTTCTACGAGGTTCATAAAGCCTCGTAGGAGAATCAAGAAACCCTTCTCTTTCTCTGTTCTCAAAGGGAGTTAAACACTCTTTATATATCCAGTGTTGTTTCTTCACTTAGTTATAAACATATTCGTTGTTGTTATTGTTGTTACATATAGTTTGAGAAATGGAGGTACATTCTCCTGTTGTGGCAAAGAGATTATGGAATGTGATGAGGGTAACCTTCTTCATGATAAGGAAGGGTCTTATATCAAAGAGGAACATGATCATGGACATGAACCTCATGATGAAGAAAGGGAAGGTGGTGAGAAAATCTTTTAGCAATCTCATACCATCACATCACCACCACCACCACCAGAAGAACCCTAAGAGTGTGACAAGAGGAGGCTTAGGGGTGCATTATGAATTCTCATGCAGCAATAGTCCAAACCCTGTTTTCTTCTCCATGCCAAAGCGCAAGCACCATTTCAACTTTCCCTGCATCCATGCCCCTGAAGTTGTCGAAGATGAACATCGTTTTTCATTCGAAGTTGAAGGTGAGGTGCCTAAAGGTGTGGTAGTTCCCAAAACCCCAGAGTATACGTACAACTTTTTTGTTCCTGGAGAAAAAAAGAGCCCTCTTCTCTCACCGTTTTCTGTGAGGGTGTCCAACTATTCTGCATTGGATGAAACTGAAGAAGTTGGAAATGATCGTGTTGATGATCAGGCTGAGGATTTCATCAGAAGATTCTATGAACAGCTTAGGACACAAAGCCCCGTGCAGTTCCTCCGTTAACAAGAGATGTAAAGATGAAACGAAGCATGTAGTTACAATAATAATGATGCATTGAACTTGTTTCGTCTACTGAATGCTGAACATTATTCTTGGAATTTTGCTGTCTCAAATTCTTCATTTCTTTCTCTCTGTAAATTGGTGCCATGCTGTTATTATCGATCACCGCATTCAATACTTTTGTTCTCGTTCTGTATTTGAGTTGTTTTATAGAAACCAAAAATAATTTGAATTGGATTTTTAAGATCAAAGTTGCATATTTTAAAATTATATGACCAGTTTTTTGTCATACGACTACAACCCATTTTTGATAAAATTTAATCGAAAGTGTTAATTTTTTTTTTGGGTATATTCATGATGTTGTGTTGTATATTAAAAGAATGTGGAACGTTTGCCCTATTTGGCATGGTGTTACATCGTTGTGGGGATGTAGGTGGGTGAACCGTGGACCATTGGGCAACATTTTTTATTTTTATTTTTAAATTTTTTGTGTTTTTTTCATAAAACTGTGTTTGAGACATGTGAGAGACCCCACCTACCACCTATTATTCGTAGGGTGTTTTATTGAATAGGTGTCGTTGATTAATTGTACGTTTCAACTTGTGAATATAGTAATTAGTAAAAAAGAAACTAATACTAAGATAAATTGGGTTTAGCCCTGTAAGGAAAAGGATTATATTTCGTGATAGTGAAGATTTCAAGCTCAAATAGACTCATCTTTAAAATAAACATTAAAAAAAAAAAAGACTCTGTTCAAAGTGAAGCTTTGCTAGTGTTTAATTTTTTAACACAAAATAATTTTAAATTTAAAAAATATAATAATTTAAATTTAATATATATATATATATATATATATATATATATATATATAAAATTACTTACTCTTATCAATTTATTTACTTGAACATATTTATTTTATTCATTATTTATAGATTTTATTATTGGAAAGTTTTATTTTTTTCACTCATTCTTCCACTTTTTTTATTTCTTTTCCCTTTGTACACTTTTTTTTCTCTTTTGTCTTCTTCTCTCTTCTTTCAATCTCTATATTTTAATTATATAAACATGTAAAGATTATAATAACGTGAAGAAAAAATTACATTTGTCCATTAAATATACTAATACAAACAAAATTATTTATTTTGTGTAAATTATATAATAAAAAAGTAATATATATTTTGTTAAAAGTCTATGCTTTTAAGACTTTTAAACTCTAGCCACGTATATATTTTATCATTTATTTATAATTTTATGGAAAAATAACGTGTACCAAAAATGCTAATGAATTATTTAAACTCAACTTATATTATGAGTTAGTTTTTTTCATATTTCAAGTTAACCTATTTAATTTCTTTTGATAATAATTTAGATTTTAATAATATTATATATGCCATTTACAATTAAGAATATAACCAATACTAGTAAACAATATATTTCAATTATTAGATGAATAATTGATTTATTACAATAAAATAATTTTAAATTAATTATTTTCTATCATTATAAATAGTTTTTGTTTATTTATTTAATGCACTACATAAAAGAATTTTCCTTTTCTTTGTAAAAATGTTTAATTTTTTTTAGCTTCGTTGTTGATTTTAAAATTTTTTATTTTAACATCTTTATCATTTTAACTAATTTTCAATCTAGTAGTACTTTTACATTCCAGAAAATAACAAGTAGGATTTGAAGAAAGAGGAAAAATAATAAAAAATAAAGTATTATTTTTCTCACGTATTTATAACTTTTTGTATCACAGTATGTCAATAGTTTTTACGAGAGTTCTATACACGTCAAATTCTTTAAATGAAAGAACCATACAATTAAAATATAATCTATATTTTTCCTCTAAGACCGTAACACTTGAAGGTAATAAAATTAACGAAGAAATTCAAAATATTTACCAAAACATTTGATAACAAAATTTCCGAATATAAGATATGGAAAACCCTAAAAGAGAGAAACATTAAAAAATAAATACTCTACGGCTAAAAGTTGTCTAATTGATAAAATAAACTCTTTAGAAAATATATGGGCTTAGAATTCTTCATTAGTAAATTACCACCTGCGTTCACAATATGGACCTTGTGGCCAAGGATGGGCCTCGGGCCCAAAAGGCGGGTAAGCATGCACCACTGGTGGAGGCGGGGGAGGGTAGGGATACACCACCGGAGGTGGCAAGGGAGAGTATGGATACACCACCGGATCCGGCGGAGGCGGCGGGCGTGGGTAATCGCAATGATAGTCTCCGTTCGGACGAAACATAACCGCCGGTGGTGGAGCAGTGGGGGGATACACGGGAGATCCCACCGGCAACGCGACCGTCGGGTAGCAGCACGTGTTATCGATTTCGCACGTGGGATATTGTACTCTATTGGGAGCACACGCGCAATCCTCCGGCGCCAGAACCGGGTACCCGGAGATTCTCCCTTCGAGAATCTGCGACGAGTGGATCCTACTTCCACTTCCATTCCCATTCCCAATCCCAATTCCCATGCCCTTCAATTTGTACGAGAAATTGAAGATCCCGTTGGGCTTCCCCTCGGCGGAGCGAACCTCGTAGCTAACGAACCTCGCCGAGTCAGTGCCGGCATCGCGGATCATATTGGCGAGCGCCACGCGGCACTCGCCGACGACCTTGTCGCCGAGGATGGTGCCGTCGTGGCGGAACTCGAAGCAGAGGAAGAGATGACCAAAGTCGGAGTCGTGCGGCGAGTGCGAAAGGCACCCCAAATCGAAACGCGCGAGGTAGTTCCATTCGGGGTTGCTGCCGTCGCTCTCGCTGTCTCTGTCCGTTAGGGTTCGCTGCCGCTGCTTCCGTTCCTCCGTGATTTCCCTCTTGGGATCCTCGCTATCGATGAAGACGGTGGCGTAAAGTGTGAGCTTTTGGAAAAAGTTGAAGGCTCTGATGTTCTTGCAGGAAATGAGTTTCACCTCCATAGATTTGGCTTGGGGTTCCATTAGTTGGTGATTTTTCAGGGTTTAGAAAAATGTGGTAATTGGAGAGAAAATTTGATGATCTTAGGTTATATCGATATATTTGTAATGAAATTGTTGTACGCGTATGCAAGGAGAAATCACCAAGAAAACTAACATTCAATGCTTAATTTGTTAACCGTCTTGTCTTGGACCTATACTTCGGGTGGAAGGTTCTCTCGGTGTTCCATTCACTTCCACTGTTTGTGATGATCTACCGTGTCTTTTGTCCTGACATCCACGTGTAATTTATGTGGTGTATCATAAATATAAAAAATAGTTATTATCAATATTATAAAACTCTACACTACATCAACTTCTATTTCCAGAGCAATGAGAGCAACAAGGCAAGAGAATCAGTCAATACAAAGTGGAATCTAATCTGAACAAAGAGGTAACCAACTAATAATAATAATAACAATATTAATAATTAAAAGAAAACAGATAAATAAATAATAATTTGATAATTTAGAATTTAGTTTTCATTTAGCAGCTAAAATCTTGATAGATAGGATTAGAGACCAATTTAAATTCTAATTTAGAAACTAATTTAGTCAAAATAATTTTTAATTTAGTCAATGACTTGATAAATAAATATGTTAATTTAGTCGTGCGCAAGAATAACTTGATTATTCTTGAATTAATAGTATTCACAGAGTCAAAATTAATATATTAATACTATTCAAAATAACCAAATAGTTGTTAGAACCAAATTACTATATTTATTAAATGTAAGTATTAAAAAACAATGTATTTAGATATAGCGTACTTTTAATATGGACCACGTTTAGAAATAAAAGGGTATTTAACCTTAAATTTAAATAGTATCAAATGTTTAATTGATCAATTTAATGTTATCATTATTATTGTCAAATTAAAAAAAATAAAAAAGTTCTTGAAAAACTTGAACAATATTATTCAAAATATAAAATAAAATCTTGATTATGTTTTTGTCTTTAAAATATAGCTGTGTTTTGTTTTTTCAGTAAATAAGACTTAGTTCCTTTTCTGATTTTAATTTTATTTAGTCCCTATAAAATATATTTTTTCATTTAAATTTCTACAAACAAGGATTAAAATAAAACAGGACAAAAATTACATGAACTAAAACTCAAGAAAAAAAAATGAAAGACTAAATAAAAATGACAATATTTTAAGCACAACCAATATTTTATGCCTGAAATGAAACTGACGTAAAAGGAAGGAGAAAAAAAAAAAAATATATATATATATATATATATATACTACAAAGTGATAGCTTGGGTGGAGGGATAAGTTGTTAATTATCTGATGATAAAGTAATACATTGGTTTCTAATCCCACCTCTCGTTAACAATATCAATGATTTTTTTTTTTATTGAGTTGGTAGCATTTATAATGTAAAATAATTTATATTCATAATAAGTTATAAATAAAAATGTCTTACTAATATTTATATAATCAAACTTACATGGTTTTATTAATCATTAACAGTAGAAGGAAATTTACCATTATAAAAAGGTCTATGTATACTATAATATGACATCTATTTAATAAATATAAATTATCTATTATTCAACAACAAGATAAAAAATATAATAGTATATCAATAGTTAGATATAAAATATATACTTAATTAATAACTATTTTTAATATTACAGTAACATTAATTATCATTGTACTAATAAAATTGATTATCAATGATAAATAGTTAATTAACTAAAAGTAGAACACAAAAGACATGTCTTACAAGGAGATTGATATATTTTAAGTGCCAACAACATGTTATAGGGACAGGGTAATCTAGTATACTTATCCTATCCACATCCTTGAGTTATTGATGTTTTTGGAAAAACGGATAAAAGAGGAGGTACTGTTACATCTAGGACACCTGATATCACTCTCATCGACCATCACGTACATAAGGCAACGACGACATCCTATTACTACCATGGAATTAACTTGAACAGGGTTGTTCGAGTATCCGAGGTTATTATTGTTCGAGTATCCGAGGTTATTAACGTTGTTATCCTCTTGGTTAGGATCAATGAACGACGAATACAGTGGTGATGTTGATGAAACCGCTGTTGCTGTTGATTGAGGTGAGGACGGAAAGTTAACAACCACTGGTGAAGGTGGATTCAAATGGTCAGATTTTGGAGTCATGCCATTTCTATCACTCATGATTTTGTTTAGGTATGGTGACCTGTGTTTGACTCAAATTGTTAGCTAAAAGAATCACATACAAAATCTAAATAAGAAAAACAAAAGAGAGAGGATAATGTGAGTACCTATACACCTTAAAAGACTTGAAAAAAACAATTTTGGATAAAAAAAAATAAAAAATCAAGGTGTTAGAAGAGAAAGAGTAAGAGGAATGATTTAGTGAATGGCATAAGAAACTCCAATGCCAATGAACTGATATTTATTTGTTGAATGGGTGAACCCTAGGCCATTTTATCTTAGAAAATTGTAATTTTGAGGAAAAAATTACATTTAAAAAATAATTAATTTACTCTTTTTTTATATAATAATTTAATCAATTCACATTGATTATAAAAGCGAAATTTTCGTTTAATATTTATGATCATTGACTTTAACAGACAAATATTCATTAAACTAATTTTGATAAACAGTCATACTTCAATAAAACTTGTTTAACTTAATCACTCATTAATATCATATCACATCTCATTAGTCATCAAATATATCTATTAAATAAGTTTTACATGAGATACCTTCATTCAAAAATTGATATTTTCCATTAAAAGGTTTAGAATGTTCTAGATAAGATGAGCAATAATTAAATTCGAAACTAAAAAAAAAAACCAAATTTTAATTATTGATCATTTAAATATTTCAATTTTATAATATTTTGAAATGAAATGTTAAAATATAAATGGTCCCACTAATAATAAGAAAGTTAATTATAGAATATTGAAATATCCTATGTCTTGCATAACCGGTTTATACAATTTATTAATGAACTAAATAAACATTCAAATTTTTTGGGTAAATAACTAAAATATTGAGAAACTTAAAAAAAAATACTTAAATTATTAAAAAATAAAAAAAAATATAAAAGGGGAATTCAAAAGAATGAAAAAGTGATTTTGAAAAAATAAATATAGAAAACAAAACAAAACAAAATACTTAAATAAAATCTAAAAATGGAGTTGTGTGTGTTTAGAAGGAAAAATACAATAATAAAACAAATATTTATTTAAAAAGGTAAATAAGTAAAATATCTAAAATGGAGTTTTTTCTGTATTGTACTTACAAACTTGCAAAGTTATTTATGAATTAAAACAAAATGAACTAATAGAATATAATATATAATACTAAAATAAAAATTAAAACTAGTTTTGTGTAGTTTTAATAAAAAAGATTTAAGTCTTTAAACTGTTGTTAACAGAGATGGAAGAAAAAATTTACTTATTAAAATAATACTAAAAGATATATTTATATAGTTCTCATTGATGTTAAATTTTATTTAAATTTATTTTTTATAACTAATATGTTATTTTAAATATTTGTGTTGTAAGATTGGGAGAAACTTGTTGATATATAAAACTGATTCTCTTATTATTATTATTATTATTATTATTATTATTATTATTATTTTCGTTTCCCTTTTAGAAATCTTTATCCAAGAACCTTAACTAAGGGTCGATGCATTACCTAATCTTTCCTTCGAATCCATCTTCCTCATATCTTCACACAGTACCATCACTGTTACCACACCACACCACCCATATCATTCAAGAAAATAAAAATAAAAATAAATTATCCTCTCTTAACCAGGAAATATTGGCTGAGTCATGTTCACTTTGCATCTTCAAACTAGGTAAGAAACCCACCAAGAACACTTTTCAAAATTCAAAACTCTTTCACCTTATCGTTGTATTATCTAACACTTACTTATCCTTGATCTTAATTTTGTCCAAGCTTACCTTTGCCTTCTCTGCATCTCTTTCAACCATTCTTAAGTTTGTTACAACTAGTGGCGGATCTTATTGGGAGTTGAGGAGACCGTAACCCCCAATGTTTTGTAACTCCCATATAATTTTTTGTCCCCCAAACATAATGAATATTTAATATATTTACTTGTATATTTATAACTTTATCCTCTCAACCTCTCCTTACTTTTATAACTCTCATATAATTTATGATTTTGTTCTTCTCAAACTTAATGATCATTTAATATATTTAAGTATATATCTAAAATTTTATCTTTTCACCCTTTCATCTTCTTTCTCCCTTTTATATTTATTTATTATTTATTAATAATATATTATTTGGCTAAGTATATATCTAGAATTTTATCTTTTCATCATTTCATCTTCTTTTTTTCTTTTATATTTATTTATTAATAATATATTATTTGGTCTTCCTAAAATCAATGGTCAAGATCCACCACTGGTTACAGTCAAAAGCATCAAAGATTATAATTACGTAGTCTTTTACTTCATAGAAGCTTCTAAATGCTAGACTTAATCATGTCAGACTATCTTAAACATTAGTTGATAATTATATTCATAATTTTGATGGTAACATAATATAATTAAGTTATGAATATTCAATACATGGGCTAATGAATAAAAAAAAATCACACATAAACTATTATCAATGTGTCATTTGATGATTACCAACTAATTAACATTAGTTGATGAACCTAGTAAACCATCTAGTATGGTCAACAAATTTGCAAGTTAGTGTGTAATGTGATGGTAGTGCACTATTTGATGGTAAAAAAAAAACCAATTAGTCATATGATGAAGCCCAAATTGATTGATTAACATGTCATTAATCTTGTATGATGGCACACAACATGTCGCTAAGCTCATACGATGAAACCCAACTCAATCCATCCTACAAGTCATGAGAATCGTCTATTAAAGGTAAAATGGAATCAAGTTACATATTAACTAATGGACCCTATAAACCACCTTAATGTCATCAAATTCGACTAATATCAATAGAGATTAAAGTCATACAATGTATCATTTGATATACTCAACAATTTACATTATAATCACCATATTCAACCAATGCTCATTAACTCCACTAAATTGTTGAATCAACTAGGTTAGTTTGATTCATGTTTTCTTGAGTTATTTCATAATGCATGTTTAAATAAATAAAAAAAATACAAACTTCAAAGGTATTATTCAAGCACAAGTTAACCTTCCTTATTGAAGGATGCTAAGAACAGAGAAAAATAAAACATAATGACTTAGAGACATTCTTCCTGAGTTATGACAAATTACTCATTAATAAAAATTATCACTCATTTTGAAAAACCTAAAAGACATAATAGAAGTTATACTAACTAAAGCCAACTCAAACCTTATGTGTCATAATGACTATTTGTACATGAAAATTGTAAACAAAGATGTAATCATGCAAATAGAAGATGAACTCAATGAAAAAACAATATTTGTGCTTAATTTATTAAGAACAACGATCACCTTTTTTTTAAACACTTCTTGACATTATTTTCTATTTAGTTTTTATATTTTTTAGATAAATGAAAATCAATTATACCTTTTTATTAATACATTCAATATTTTAAAACTCACTCTTTTGGTAAGATTTGGTGAAGAAGAAAAATTAGGAGAATAAAAGAACCTTGCTCAACTAGAACAAATCCTTACCGAGCCAGACTCTTCTCTCGTTCAACTAATTTTGGATTAAAGAACACATTTTTTATATGATCAAATCTTACTCAGATAGAGTAACCTCTTGCTCAGCTAGTCTTGTAGGCAAAGAATATGGAAAAAAATGTTTACATATCTCACCTAATGAAGTCAAGCTTTAGATGAGTCAACCACTTATGTGATGTTTTCACATTGGTTCAAAATCTTGAATATGAAGGAGATTTTTGGAGTAAGAAGAGAAATCCGAGAGAGAAAAAATATAGGGTACACATCTATTGAAAAACTTCCTTCATGACTTCCATCTACACTACTTCATTCTTTTGTTTTGCTTTTGTGTTATTCAAAATCATGAATAGTTAAATCCTCTTTTATTAGGATTAAATGTAATCACCAAACTCTCTTGTATATTTTAATTATATTTATATATAATTTCTATTTTTTTAATTCATTGTTATTCTATCTTTGTGTTATTCAATTATTGTGGCTTGATCAACCATACATTGGAATATCCTTATGTTAGGATAATCAATAAATAATTTTTCTAGGAATGGAGAATGGATTATTGATGATCTTTAGATCTTAAAACTACTACATATTTGTCCTAAGTTGATAAGAAATTGTGATTTAAAAGGATACTTAAGGTATGCTCTTTGGGATTGGAATATAACTATTCATGATAAGGATGGATGACAATGAAGAAGAGAGAACATTTATTTAATGAATTCAGTTGACCAAGAGAGTGATGTGGTGAAGTCTAATTTCAACAATATCCATTGGTACATTTTTATCCATTTTAGCTTTCTTTAGTTTAAAAATATAATATTTGTTTAGTTTTAATATTCCTTTTAAATCATGATCATCAAATATTTCAATTTAAGCCTATTAGCATAAGTTAGTGTAAATCTTATTATTATCTAAAGTCTTTATGGATTCGAAACACTTACTCGTTTAAAACTACTAATGACAATGGTGTGCTTGCAAATAATCCAACAACCAACTCTAACTTAATGCGTCACAGTGATTATTTGTGCACAAAAATTATAAATAGAGACACAATAATACAGAAAGAAGATGAATGTGAAGTAATGTACATGAAAAAATATTGTTAAAACTCATTGCGAAATTATAGTTTTCTATTTTCTTAGAGTTGAAAGAGAACTTTATTTGTAAACCTATCACTTTGTGAAGTTCATTTTCTAGTATTCAGGAAACTACTATATTCTCTCTATGAGAGTTTATTGCTTTTAATATATACTAAACTTCAATTTGAGATGTGTGGGGAGGCTTTGTGTACTAGAATAGTTAGGAATAACTTCACGAAAAATAATAATGATCGTGCTTAGAGTGATTTTATGTACTTATGTCAAGAGTAGTCTTGAGAACTTGTGGTTGTCAAAAGTGACATTATGTACTCCGTGTAAGCCAAAAATTGTAGGGAATACTATTTGGTTAAAATAAGTTGATTATAGAAGAGTTCTCTAAAAATTTGTTAGAAAAGGGCTAAGTATAATTCAAGTTGAATGAACTAATATAAAATAATATGTTTTATCTATTCTACTTGGTTAGAATTTATGCAAGTCTCATTTTGAATATTTTGTTTTGAAAAAATATTTTATTATTTGAAAAATATTTTTTTTGTTTTAAATGACACCTTAAGATCACCTAATTAGACTATTACTATCGAGAAAATACATTTTGATTGTCTAATCATTCTTATGATCAGACGACATCTTTAGATCATCTGTAATCCATTACAAACAAGTTTTAGCTCTATTTAAACTCCTATTTTTAAAACTACCATCCAACCCATATTTATCTTCCTTTGCCTTCATGTGTTATATCAATTCAACTTCCATTGTTTTTCTTTTATATTTACATTTTGATGTCTTAAATGTGTCTTTATATCTTGATATAGATTTCTATCAGACATGTTTCCAAAGCATGTCAATAGTACTCAGTTGTCTCTCATCTCTCAGTGTCTTATAGCATTTAGTTCCACCAACTTCCACCAAGTTAATACATTGGATTTTTTTTTCCTTTAAATTTAGATAAATTTAAAATATAATTAGTTACTCCGCAATTGATACGTTATTTTCTTTGCCCTGTCACTAATGATCTTTATATTATTTTAATCCTCCTTAACTTCCATAATAAAAATAGATATTGACACTCTTTACCATCTTATTATAAATCCTTATTTCTTTATTTTTTATATATTATTCTTTGGCTTTTTTAATTTTATATATTTTTTTAAGAATTTGGTATATTTTGAGAATGACGAGGGAACTTTCATAGGTGCACAAAATTTTAGAAACAAAGCAAATTGTTAACTAGAAAAACACAGAGTATTGGTCATCAAAATCAAGATTATGTTTTTTTGTGTTTCACCCTTTAGAAAAGAGTTAACTCACTCACAACCTATTTTTAAATTTGATAAAATTTCTAACGAGTACAATCAAGAAACAAATTCAAGTCTTTATGCTTTTAGAATTAAGTAGATACATCTGCTATTGGTTGTCTTTCCACATTTTAATATTAGTATATTATATTATATAAAAATTAATTATGTATTAATTATAAATTATTTTATATAAAGATTATTATTTTTTATTGTACAATAATTAATGATGGGATGAATAAATATATATTTTTTTAAATAATTAATATGATTAATTCTCAACTTTAACGTTTGTTATTATTTTATTTTGCTAGTGTGTGATTTTTTCTTTAAGTGGAAGATATGTCAAAATATACAACTAGGTGCTTGACATTAGTTGCTAAGAATATTTTCACAATTAATAAAGTTTACTTAAAATAGTATTAATTTTGTTTAACCTTAGAGTTTATTCCTAAATATGCCTTTTATATTTGAGTTGTTTTGGTTCGTTAACTTAAAACTTTGAGTTCTTTCGGTTCTTTTGTTGACTAACTATTTAAAAAGTTGCAAACTGTGGTTTAAAATAACAGAAGATGTTATTTGCTAACAATGTCAGTTATTTTTATTTTTTTTACACATACAAAATGTTACCTTTTAGTTAACGGCTCAAATTTGAATGTTAAAGTACCAAAATAAATATTTTATAAGATAAAAAATATAAATCTATAAGTTAAATAAAAGCATTAAAAAAATTTAATATTACATATTAAATTATTTATCTCTAAAATGATAAAATTAAATCACTTATTTATACGTTAATTTACAATTTAATTTTCAATAAATACCTTGATAAAAAAGATATTAGTGTCAAAATAGGTTAGGTTAGAGTAACCAATATGTATTTTAAATTGAATCAAACTCCATAAGATTATGAGCGGACCTATTTTATAGAATAATAATTATTTTTTAATAAAAATAAAAGTAATATTATTTTATTATATATATATATATATATAGTGGCAGACCTTCTTGGAAATTGAGGGTGGTCGTGACCCCTTCAAAGTTTTGTAACTTTCATCTAATTTATGATTTTAATTTTCCCAACTTAATGATTATTTAATATATTTACAATTTTATCTTCTCAATTTTTTTTAGTTTTGTAACTTATATAATTTATGATTTTGGTTCCCAAACTTAATAATCATTTAATATATTTACTTATATATTTATAAAAAATATATATATATATATATATATATATTAATTTGACAAGGGATTCACTTATTCTACTAATAAATATAAGAGTAAATTTCTACCAATCACTTATTCCAAGATCTAAGGATTAAAATTAATTACTATTTTATATTAATAAATTATTAATAAATAAATAATAATAATAATAAAGAATAAAATTTTAATTTTTTTAATAGAAACATTATCTTATCATTTATATATTAAATAAAAAATAATTTTTTTAATATAATTTAAAATTTTAAAAATATATTTTATTTTTTATTTAATTGCTTGATATAGATATGTTAATATATATATATATATATATATATATATATATATATATATAAATTTTCATTAATATCAAAATTAGTCCCTTAGCCTAACATAGGACTAGACTAGATTAAAATTTATGATTTATTTTAAAATAGAAATTAGGTTGAGCATCAATTTTTTTTTTACTTATAATTTATGATCTATTTTAAAATAGAAATTAGGTTGAGCATCAATTTTTTTTTACTTATAGGACAAACTTCGCTTGCTTTTACCACTGCATATTATTTAATTTTAAAATAATTTCATTAAATGTCAAATTTATTAAATTAAATGGTAAATTTAATGATAACAAAGATTTATTAGATTTAATAAATACTTATTAAATATAGCATTAATGATATACATATATTAAATAAAATATTTAATTAACATTAAATAACATAAATTTGGTAGAGTTAATGTGTATTAAATATATCAACTTTCATATAAATCCATAAATATGAAGAAATAATAATTCTTGTAGATTTAATATCTTAACTATTTCACTCTCAATCAATGCATTAATATATATATATATATATATATATATATATATATATATATATATATCATTTAGTACATTTAATATATCAATTAATGCAATTTATAAATAATCATTGTATAAGTGCATTTGTTTTGGTAATATCATCAAATAATTATTAAATATATTATTATATTATTTTTTACACACAATATATATATATATATATATATATATATTTTTTTTGTATTTTATGCAAGAAAAAAAATTGTTTTTTCTTTATTAAATTTATTGTTTTTGTCATGAGTAAGGTGGAGATAACGAGTGTGAATATAAATACATAGTTATCTAATAAATAAGAAGACCAATATTGAAATTGCTGCTTACATATGGGAATGAAGGCAAATATAATGAAGGTCTTTATATAGATAGGAAAAAGCGTAATAAATATAATGGTTATAATATGATAGAAAAAATAGATATTAATGAAATGTTTAAAAATATAAAGTGTTTATAGATTGTTAAAGATATAGATATAATCTCTAATTTTATTCAATTTTTTCTTTAATTTATATTATTAGGTTACTTTATTAGTAAAGTTATGCAATTTAATATATATTTATGTTATCTTATTTTTAAAAATTTTAAGAAAAATATTTATATATTTGAATTTAGTTTATTACATTATGGATTTAATTTCAATGAAAATAAAATATAAAAATGACGACTAATATGAGTACATGACACCAATTTTATGAAAAAAATAACATGATTTATAAACCTGGTTTTAAAAAGAAATTGTAGATTTACTAGAAAATTAATTCTTTTTTAGATTAATAAATTATATCGATATTGGAAGAAGCTTCTTCTTTTTTTTAAGTGCTTTTGAACATATTTTGAAAAATGAAACTATGTTTGGTTTTTAATTAAAATCACAATTAAAATTTTAAATCACGATAACTTAAATAAAACATATAACAATATTAGTTTATAGTGTCTAATAATTTATTATTATAAGAAAATTATTATCATTGGTCAATTGAATGTCCCACTATTATTATGATTGTTTTAAATTGAAAGTATTGATGTTACATTATTGAATCTGTTTTACTCAAATACGAAACACTAAAATATATATTATTTAGTGAAAGAGAAATAAAATGAATATGGAAAACTTTAAATACAGTGGTTAAAAAACAAAACAAAAAAAGTGCAGAAAATTGGCATCGACAAAGAGAAGAAGAGATATCATAAAAATGACAAATATAAGTTATTGTGTGATGTTAAAATAGTGTGAAGGTTGTTTTTTATTCTGATTATTATTTTATTTTTAAATTAACATATATTGTATTGAAAGCAAGAGATCCTCAAACCCTTGACACTCTTACACTCATCCATCAGATTGATTACATTAATAACTTCTCAATAATATTTATAAACTAAAGAAAAATTCTAAGATTTTAACAGTTATTTGTTAATGCTGTTTTATGAAATTTTTTATTATTTAATGGAAAAAGTTGAATTAGAACAAAAAAATGATATAAAAGCTGATAAAATTATAAGAAATTGATGATAGATAATTAAAATACCCTGCAATTCATTGTATTATTTAATATGATCAAGTTACATGATCAATACCACTGAAGGAAACAAACTAACCTAATATAAGGTGGTCAAAAGACAACCATTTATTAAACCTAAATTCTTGGACATGTAATGTTGCTTACGCTCAACTCTTTATGTTATGTCCTCACTAAACAGAGGAGATAAAGATGAATATAGGAGCACAAGAAGCACTACTCACAAAAGGGTTTGGGAAAAACATAATATAAAAAGGGATATTACTGTTTCAAATTCTAACATGTCCTAAATTGAAACAGAGAATGCAGAATTGACAGGGTAACTTAGGACTCTATTCCTTTTTAATGGTAGGATTGTTGTCACTGGAAAAGTGAATCAAAGAGGTACTTTTGCATTTGGGGCACTTAATGTCATCCTCACTGACCATCACATACATAAGGCAGTGTGGACATCCTACGACCACCAAATTGACTTCATGGGTGTCGGAGTGTTCAACATTGTTGTTGTTGTCGTCTTCTTGGTTGACCTCAATGGACACACATGAGGTTGGTGAATCTGGTGCTAAATGATCTGGGGACTCCATCAATCAATTCCTTTTTCAATGTTACCTGATGTGACTCAAATAGTTAGAGAAATGAACCATATAAAAAAAAATTGCAATTCAGAAAAAGAAAAATCAAGGTGAGAGCATATATGCACCTTAATCACTCAAAGGAGAATGGTATGGAAAGCTCTAACACCAACCATATGCTATGCTTTCAAGGCTTGTGCCTTATGTCCTTTTATAAGGAAAAAGAATGAAGGAGTTATTTAATGAATATATATATGAGTAAAATTTATTTTCCTGAATTAGTTGCCACAAAATAAAAGAAAACTAATTTATGCCACAAAATAAAAGAAAACTAATTTATATATTATGTAATTTATTATCCTATTTATATATATTAGTTTAATTAACTTTATATTATTTATTAATAACTCATATTAATTAAAGGGAGCGTAATCTTCATGGTATATTTAAGATAGTTGACTTAACTACACAATTATTTATTAAGCGAAACTTTCGCGCAAAATGACAATCTTATTAACTTCTTTTAATCACTCATTAAAACATCTTATAACGATGATGTCATATTTTATTTTTCTTTTAAATTAAATCTATATTAAACAAATATAACGTAATTTAGTCAAATCAACCTATTTGAATATTGTTCCTTTTATTGAAAAGACTAATAAAAAAAATTAGTATTTGAAACTAAAAAAAATAAGATTAATATTATGATACTCTAAACCCTACACAAAAACAAACATGAGTTGTGAGAAACTTTACTCAAATAAAGGGTATCATATATCACACACATAAATTATTTTTGAACAATTTTTATAAACTAAAATGGTCTTTACTTCAAAATGTTATATTATGTCAATTGGACAATATCTTATCCTAAAGAATCTCAAGTTTTTATGAAAAAAATTAATGAGAAAGATAAAAAAAATACTTTTATAAAATACACAAACCAATTTAAAGGTATATGGTATTATTATTTTTATAAATGTCTCAATTAGAATACAAGTTTTCCTTATGTAACTATGAAATTCTTCTTTTTGTAGAAGGACTTTTTTTTTGAACTTTTGACACTTATCTTGTGGGTCGAAATAACATTAATTAGAGTTGTCATAATGGACAGTTCCACCTAGACTTTACCTAATCCTATGAGCTAAATAGTATTGATAGTTTAACCTGACTTATATTATTTTAAAAGAAACTATAATTTTTAGTATAATCTAACATTTTGTCAAGTCAATGGACTAATGAATTAATTTGGTCTAATTAAAAATTTTAAAAAAATTATTAACCTGTTTATACTAAAATAATTAATTTTTTTAAAATAAAAATATATTTTTTTAAAAACTTAAATTATATTAATGAAATTAGTTTTTATTTTAAATATAATAGTTTAATATATAAATTATAAGATAATGAATCCATGTAATCTCAAAATAAGAGTTAAAAAGTTTCCTTTAGTTATCATCATTATTTTTTTAATAATTTATTGATTTAAAATAATAATTAATCTTAATAATCAGATTTTAGGACAAGTGGTTGTTAGAAATTTACTTTGATATTTACTCTTATAATAGGTCAATCTTTTATCAAATTAATTTATAATACATGTATATTTTATTATAAAATAATATTACTTTTATTTTTATTTAAAAAATAATTATTATTCTATAAAACATGTTAACTCATAAGACTATAGGCTAACTTGATCTAAGCTTATATAAGTCATATCTTAAATGGATCATATCAAAATAGGTATGGTTCAATTTAGGTTACAAATTTTTTAACCTAGTATGACTTATTTCTCGAGCCTTTTAGACCGATCCACTAAACCTATTTTGGCACCCTAATATCGATGCATATGATGAGGGTGAAAAAAAAAAAGATGAATTTCTAAGTGAAAAATCAAATACATTAATGAAACTTGATTGAGAGAATATGGAAGAGTGAAAAAAATATAAACCTCTTTTGATTATTCAATACACTACTTTAATTTTCTTTTCTCTCTTTATTATATATTTAATGGTTTATTTTAGTATTTATGAAAAATAAATAAATTAAGTGGACTTTAGAATTATATATATAATATTTTATTTGAGGAAACACAAATATAACATATTATTAATTTAAATATTTTAAAAAAATTAGAATGACCAAAATAATAAATGTATATGTGTCCACACTTTTTACCCTTGTAGTAAATAATGTTTTGATCATTTATCTTATTTTTTAAAAAAATATCTTTTTTGAAAAATTTTCTAAGATTATTCTTCTTAAGAATTTTCTTGAATTTCCTTCACATAACTCCTACCTCTTCTTTTATGGAGGGTCTAGAGTCTTCTTTTGAATTGTCAAGTTTTTATTCCTATATTTTTAAATCTCTTAGACTCTTTAACTTTAAGACCAACATTCCTATTTAGAGAGAGATTTTCTAGATGATATTTTGTTTTGTAGATACACTTCATATACTCTAAGGATGACAAGTAGCTCATCCAAGTGTGTTTATTTAGGTCTCAAGCTTCCTCCTATATGTTTGGTAATTTGGATTCTAAAATATGTGGAATTTTATCCAAAACCTTCAAGTTAACATGAATCTTGGACGAGGTATTTTCAAAGACTTTGAGTACATTTATAAGAACTAATACTCTTTTCAACATATCATTCATGATGTCAATTTCCTTCATGGTGAAAATTTTATATTGTCTAGTTATATGGACAACTTTTCTTAAGTTAACATCTTTATTGTTGAATATAATTATTGAGTATAAAGAGAAAGGATAATTGAACTTTGAAGATTTTTTGAATATGGATGATAATTATCTTTAAATCAAGATAGAACACTATTGATAGGATCAACTATATATCTATGTGTTACTAAAAGTTGTGACAAATAGTAAAATAAATCTATATTAAAAAGGAAAAATAAGGGGAAAAAAATAAAACAAATAAAGTTTATACTAGTTTACCATTCTATGAAAATTACATCCAATTATTCAGTTAATCAATTGAGCTCATCCATCATACTTTTAAGTTTAACATAGGAACACTATCACATAAATAACAAATAAGAACATACACACAAATCTTGATTGAATCTTAAAAGATCAGCAATCCCTATCATGAATATCTACACAAGGTGACATTTAGTTTCTCAACTAAGAAACACAATATTCGCAATAGTGAAAAGATATCATCCTAACCCCAAACTAGCTAATGCACATACAAAATATAAATATGAAAGAGAACAATTATTAAACAAAATTTTTAAGCAAGATATAATAAGAATAAACTACTGAATAACTATTATCATCAAAACTCTCTTGCATATGAAGGATTTTCATCTCATGTATAACTTATGAAAAACTTTTTTATTTGATAATTGCAAAAAATGCTTTTATATGTATTATCCAATTTAAAAAAAACTTTGAATATAATGTATTTATATTGCAAGAAGTTTTAATAAAACATATGCTTAAATGATCATGTTATAACTAACTCAAATGATTATCTAAAATAATTTATTAGCATTTTTTTCTCCAAAGCTACCAATCAAACTTAATATTTTCAAGTGTGAGAAAGAATTATCACTAACAAGTTGTTTAATCCTAAGCGTGTGATTGTGGAGCTTCTTCTAAGGTTATATCATATCCATGTAAGTTGGAATTAGACATTAAGAGGAGTCTCAATTGAAGGCATTAGATCATATTATTAGTCCGTAAATAATAATCCAAAGTTTATATCAAGTTATTAGATGACAATGGAAAATATTCTAATGATGAGATAAACTAATTATTAATAAATTGTTTGATGATGCTTAGATCAATTGATGTTTTTTCTTCAATCTCTCCCTCTATTTGGTGATAATAACAAAGTCCTATAGAAAGTAAATATGCATAACCTTTCTCCCCTTTCTAATTATTAAATGTAAGACATAAATAAAAAAGAAAACATTGCATTAAATTAATAAGCACAAAATACATTTAAACACAAATAAGCATAAAAAAGCAGTAACAAAATCCCAAATCTTTTCCATCAAACCGACTAAACTAAATTTATGTAAGTTGATTTTAAATAAACTCTATCCTATGGTCAATTTGAGTAAAATGTGTTAAACACGTTTCATGATTGTTCTTTCAACAAGAGAGAGATCTATCTTGATAAGCATTAGTTGCTTGAAATGAGAGAAAGGAGGTTCAACTTTTAATGAAGGAACACCCATTGATTTTGGTATGTTTTTAGCTAATTTTCTTAATACTTTACAAAATTTTCTTCTCCTTTTGGAGAGGCCTTATACTATAGAAGTCATTCTCCATTAACTTTAGGGATACCCTATTTATATAATGTCATGTTGATCATGTGGTTAACACTCCTTGTGGTACTAAATATCTCTCCTTCAATATTTATTAGAATTATTTGTTGAGAACCTTTGTCACAAGTATATCATAAGGAAGACTCATGTTCAAAGTCTCAAGTAAATATTATGGTTGATAACTAAGAGTGACAGAGGTTAAGAATACGAGAGGTTGAGAATGCAATTAGTGATGCCAACTTAAGGAGGATAAGAGATAGAAGTTTAAAGAAGGTAAAAAAGAGATGAAGAAGAAGAACAATTTCATAAAATGAGATAAATGCTTCCTAGAAGAAGAGAATTGTGTTTCTCATAGATGACTTTGTATAATATAACCAATATAAAAAACTTATTACAAATTATAAGTTTGTCATTTTTTATTTATTTTATAATTGATGTTAAATGCTATGGTTAAAAACTTGTTAGATTTAATGAGAATTTATTATATATAAAAATATAAAGACACTATTTTAATAAATATAAATTTATTAGTGTCTAAATCATATTTTATCTAAAATAGTTATTTATGTTTTGTAAATTTTCTTGTAAAAAATTATTTAAATTTGTAGAAAATTTATTTCTTGTAATTTTTATAAAAAATGTAGAAAAATATTATTATGAAATATGAGAATTTTCAGTAGTGAATAAAGCTCACTCTTCCTAATAATAA